GGGACAACATGGACGAACCTTGAAACATGACGCTCAGTGCAAGAAGCCAGTCACAAAAGGACAAACACTGTGTGATCCCACTGCACCAGGCCTCTAGAATAGGCAAAGCCATAGAGGCAAAAGGTAGCACGGTGTTTACTGGGCTGGGGGAGAGGAAATGGGGAGCTAGCATTTAATGGGGACAGAGTTTCTGTCTGGGAAGACGAGAAGAGTTCTGGAGAAGGATAGTGGTGATGGTTATACAACAATGTGAACGTGCTTAATGCCACTGAACTGTACATCTAGAAATGGTTAAAATGGTATATTTATGTTGTGTATATTTTACCACAATAAAAAAATTTTTAAGCTCCCTTTACTGTAAAAGTGGGTGTGTGTGGGGGAATAAGGACCTGTGTTCATATTTGTCTGTGTATGTGCACAGAAATTCTGAAAAGACACTCAGGAAACCAAGGGCAGTGGGTTGCCCGTGGGGGAAGGGAGCGTGATCGAGATTCAGGAGGGAGGCACGGCAGCGTAAACCTTCTTACACTTTTTGTTTTTTGAAGCACATTCATGTGTTAATATTCAAAAATAAATTAGTTAAGAAGTTTGGAGAGAATGGCTTTATTTAGGGTTGGTAAGATTTGGGTGCATTTTTGTGCTGACCAAAATAATAATGACAATAATAATGATGATGGTGTTGGTAGCAGATACTATTTCCCAATTCTCACATTTGGTCTCCCACGGCTGCTGTAAGAAACCGCCACAAATTGGGTGTCTTACCACAATGGGAATTTATTCTCTCGCAGTCTGGAGGCCAGAAGTCCGAAATCAAGGTGTCAGCAGAGCCAGGCTCCCTCTGAAGGCTCTAGGAGAGGAGCCTTCCTTGTCCCCTCCAGCCGCCGGGGCTTCCAGGCACAACTTGGCTTCTGTGGCTACATCTCTCCAGTCTCTGCCTCTGTCTTCACATGGCCTGATCACCAGTGTCTGTGTCCTCGACACTTGTCATTGGATTTAGGGCTCACCCAGATGATCCAGGATAATCTTATTTTAAAGTCCCTAATTATGTCTGCAAAGACCCTTTTTCCAAGTAAGATCGTCTTTTCAGGTCCCAGGGCTTAGACATGGACCTATCTTTCTGCAGGTCACCATTCAAGCCACTACACTGACTGTGTGCAATGCGGGATGCTACGCACTTTACACAGTTTCACCGAACTCCCCAGACAGCCCCGTGAAGTAGATACCCTTATATCTTCCCAATGGACTCAGAGAGTTGCAGCGTCTTGCTCAAGGTCACACAGGAGCCAGGATTCAAACTCAGCTGTGTTGGGCTCAAAACTCTGATTCTGTGCGCGGCACAAAAGAAGCCTCTGGTTCTGGGCCAGCCAGTTAAAGCCAGAGAGTCAGGCAGCAAATATTTCCTGGCGTGTTTGTCCCTCGCCAGCCCCCAGGCCAGACACTGGGGATATGGAGAAAAGGGCAGAAGGGTGCATCCCTGGGGAGTCACCGGGAGAAGAGGCAGAGGGGGAGAGCGGATTATTCATCAGCCCTTTCAGAGCAGTACAATCAGATATGACTCCTGCCTTCTGGAGCATTGCCTTTGGCCCAAGACACCCACGGGGGGCACCTGAGGCCAGGAGTTTGTCATGAAGAAAAGGACAAAGGAATAAAGTTCAAATGCAAAAGAAATGTGTCAAGTAGAAATAACATTTAAGGAATACTTACTGCGTGCCACAGAATGTTTTAAGAGACTAACGTACTTGTTGAATCCTCCCTGTTTTACAGGTGAGTAAACTAATGCACAGAGAGGTTAAGTGACATGCCCAAAGTCACACAGCAGGAAAGAGGCAGAGATGGGATTCGAACCCAGCTCTGCCCATCACCAGAGCCCCTGTTGTTTTTTTAAATTGAGGTGAAATTGACATAACATAAAATTAACCGTGTAAAAGGGAACAATTCAGTGCCATTTAATATATTCAGTGTTGTGCAACCACTACCTCTATCTAGTTCCAGAATATTTTTATCACCCCAAAGGGATGCCCAGGAGCAATTACTCCCCATTCCTCCCTCCTCTCAACCCCTGGCAACCACTGCTCTGCTTTCTGTCTCTATGGATGTGCCTATTTTGGACACTTCATCTCAATGGAGTCACACACTATGTGACCTTTTGTGACTGGCTTCTTTCACTCGTCATGATATTTTCGAGATTTATCCACATTGTAGCATGTATCACGGCTTCATTCCTTTTTATGGCTGAGTAATATTCCATTGTATGGATACATCACCTTTTGTTTATCCACCTGTCTGTTGATAAACACTTGGGTTGTTTCCACTTTTTGGTTGTTGTGAATACAGCAGCCGTGAACATGTGTGTACATGTGACATTAAAATGGTTAATTTTATCTCATATGAATTTTACCTCAATATTTTTTTAAAAAGTGGTGCTATAAGCTGAGAGGACCAAGAAGCAACAATATCCCCCCCACCATAGCGATGAGCACAGTCAGCACCCAGACCTGGGTTTCTCAATGCTGTTCTCCAACAAAGCGAACTCGGCTCCTTGAGAAATGGCTGGTCCTACGACTAGGGCAGGGAAAACATAAGACAGCCTGGAACATCTTGCAGGGCCAGAAAGTAAGGAAGTGCTCCAAAAAAGAAAAAAACAGGAGTCGTGTCGAAAGAGCAGTGCGTGAAATCAAACGCTGAGGACAGGCTCAAAGAAAAGAGCTCCCCGTGGCCAAAGCAAGAACAACTGCGGCAACAAGATAAATAACAGCATTGGATTATAACCCAAAGAATCGAATAACTGTGCCCGAGTCCATGGTGCTGTAAATAAATGATTGAATAGATAGATAAATGGAGATGGAACAACTCTTCCTTACAGAAGAATTCCAAATAATAAATAATAGTCAATGCAGAAGGAATGAGGAAAATGGAAAATTACTAATAAACAAATACCATAGTAATAACTTCTACAAACCCGATCTACCAATGAATGCTATATTCAGTGGGTGAAATTTCAAGGGGAAACAGGATCTTTGCACAGTTTCAAAGTGTCTCACCCAAAGTATTTATCAATTAGTATCCTTTTAACATATGTCCACAGATTCTTCCAGACTCCTCCTCCCACGAGGTGGAGCTTAATTCCCCTGCTCTGGGCAGAGGCTGGGAAGGTTCTGTCTCTGGATCTGAGTGGTGGATACAGAAGTATGTTCAGTTTGTGGAAATTCTCCCAAATGTCCTCTGATGATCTGTGCACTTCTCCGTTATGTGTTGTATTTCAATAAAAAGTTCATTTTATGAGAAGGCACAAAGAAAAAAAACGGGAAGAAAAGAAAGAGACAGACTGAGCTAGCTGTCTCAGAGATGCACATGTTGGTGTTAAAACTAATGAAAAGCCAAGAAGCGATAATGAGTCAGGTCAGGATGGTGGCCACCTCTGGGGGACTGAGGGATTGTGACCAGAGAAGATATGCGGTGGGGACGTCTGCTCTGAGTGGTGACCACACAGACGTCCTGTTTATGATTCTTTAAATTGCGAGTGTGTTTTTCACCGTCCAGGGTGTGCTGGAACAGCTTGTACAGGCTTGTAGAACCGATTGTCAACTTTTCGGGAATTTGGGGACGTCACATTGGTAACTTGAAATTGGCCAGAAATCCACAGCTGCTACAAATCAGGGCCTTTGTTTCTGGAGAGCCATTGTTCAACATTTCCCAGTACATCACAGCTCCTCTACATCTATGGTAATGATTAAACTTTTTTTTTTTTTTTTGAGGAAGATTAGCCCTGAGCTAACATTAGATGCCGATCTTCCTCTTTTTGCTGAGGAAGACTGGCCCTGGGCTAACATCTGTGCCCATCTTCCTCTACTTTATATGGGACGCCGCCACAGCATGGCTTGACAAGCGGTGCGTCGGTGCGTGCCCGGGATCCAAACTTGCAGAAACTTCGAACCTTGGGCCGCCGAAGTAGAGTGCATGAGCTTACCCACTACACCACAGGGCCAGCCCGGATCGTATTAATTAAACATTTTTGTAACTTTTAACTGTGGACAAATACATATAACACAAATGTTACCATCTTAACTATTTTCAAGTGTACACTTCAGTGGCATTAAGTACATTCATTGTTGTGCAAACATCACCACCAGCCCTCTCCAGAACTCTTTTCATCTTGCAAAACAGAAACTCTACCTACAACATTTTTTTTAATCCTTAAAAATTTTTCCTTGGAGAAAGAGCATGGATTCTGCAGCCAGAGGGCTCTGTCTGAATTCCCCCTCCTACTCCACTTACTAGCCGAACTTGGGCACCTTATGTCGCAGCTCTGTGCCTCAGCATCCTCATCTGTCATATGGGGACCGTCTTAGTCCTCATCTCATAGCCCAGTGGCTCTCAAAAGTCTGATTTCTGGACCCACAGCATCATGGTGGCCTGGAAATTTGTCGCAAATGCAGATTCCCAGACGCTGCAGGTGGGGCCCAGTGATTTTAACAAGCCCTCCAGGAGATTCTGAGGCTTGCTCAAGTTTGAGAACTATTATCACAGGCCATTGGGAGGATTAAATAGATTGTACGGTTATAAAATGCTGAGAGCAGAGCCTGGCCTCACAGCCCACCCTGTGTAAGGTTCACTATTATTGTTATGATAGAGGAGGTCCGGGGCCCAGCCCTATGGGGGGGTCTGGCTGTGCCCTCCCGCCTGGTCTGGTGGGGTCCGGTGCCTGGTCCCTGCTGCATGGAGGCCTGCTGCCTCCCTGTTGAAGATGACAGTGAGCTGGACCACGTCATCCCCTCCTTGGTGAAAGGTTATCGCCTAGTCCAGGAACCGAGAAAGGTCGAGGTGGGGGGGCCGTGCCCGCTTCTCCTCTGCTGGAGGAGATAAAGGAGGTCACTTGGCTCCTCCATGACAGGCGGGGGGAGCTGGGATATATAAACGGGGCCCAGGCGGCAGAGGAGACATGGCCCCCAGGAAGCTGCCTCGCTGTGCGCACCCTTGCCTCCCAGGCGTCCTGGTCCAGCATGGCCACGCACCGGCTGCTGCTGCTGGCCGTGTGGGTGCTGGCTGCCGAGCTGCGGCTGAGGGCCGAGGCCGGGGCGGCACCCTACGGAGTGAAGCTTTGCGGCAGGGAATTCATCCGAGCCGTCATCTTCACCTGCGGAGGCTCCCGGTGGAGACGGTCAGACGCCCTGGCCCACGAAGCTATGGGTGAGGCTGGGGAGGGAGTGTGTGTGTTGGGGGATGCGGGCACAGGACACGGATGAGTCCGAGGAGCCAGGGACAGAGATGAGATGAGGGGCCAGGGCAGTCGAGTCCCTGCCCTAGCACATCCAGCTGGGGAGCCCGGCTCAGGCCTGGAAGCCCTGCCGAGGCTGGGAGCCAGTTAGCCGGGCCGGAGAGCCGGGACGGGGGCGGCAAGCCACCGGCACCGGCTCAAGTGAGAGAACAGGCTGCTGTTTCCCGTGCACCTGCTGGCTGCTCAGCCCTCCCAGAGCCAGGCCGCTGCGTGCGTGCGTGCGTCCAGGGTGCATTCAGAAGCCCTCACCAGTGCTTCCCAGCCCTGGGGGGACAGGAGTGGAGGGTGTGGCGTGAGCAAGGCCGGATTTGGCCTCCCCTCTCTGAGCCTCTTTGTCTGCACATGGGAGGCGTAGTCCCCGAATCTCACAGGATTAAGCGGCAACATTGAGTCAAAACAGGTGAGGACACAGTCTAAGCAGGGCGGGGGGCTGAGTGTGGGCTCAGGCAGGGGGCAGGGGGCCTAGTTTCATGAGGGGCGAAAAAATAGACGTTTGTGATGCTGATAATATAAGTGTGGAGCTGGAAGACACCCCGCCGGGCTCAGCAGCAGCTTCACAACGTGAAAGCTGTGTGTTCTTGTGTAAGTTACTTTACAGAAGCGCGCCTCAACATTCTCTTCTGGAAAATAGGGGCCATGTTAACAGCACCCACCTCGTGGGCTTGTCATTGAGAGGAAGAAAGAGTGGATCTGTGAAAGCCCTTAAAACAGTCTGGCATACATTAAGTGCTCAGTAAATGATCCATGCCATTTTGAGTGGTATCAAGTGCCAGACACTTCTAAGATTTTTTATGGGTATTAATGAACTGATCTACTCTGTATAAAACCCTTTGCAGACAAGGAAACCAAGGCTCAGAGAAGTAACTCACTTGCTCAGGATTCCAACTCAAAGAGGTTGGACTGAGGTGGCTCCCAAACACACGTTCTTAACCATTAGGTCCTCAACAAATAAAGAGGAGGGCAAAATAAATGACAAGAGAGGAAAGGCAAGCTCAGTGAGGTTGAACAATCTGCACGTCAAAGCTGGAACCCAGGCCTGAGCGGAGTCAAAACCTTCACCGTGAGGCGGAGTCACAAGAACAGAGAAGCGGGTGGACCGGCCGGGAGCCAGGACTCTGTGTGGCGGAAGCTAAGCCCCGAGCACTAAGTCTTTTCATCTTTTGCAGGCGATGCCTTCCCAGACGCAGACTCCGACGCAGACAGCGAGCTGGGTGAAGCAGTGGCCTCCAGCGAGTGGCTGGCCCTGACCAAGTCCCCCCAGGCCTTCTACGGGGGGCCACCTGGCAGGCAGGGACCCCTGGGGTTTCTTCGGGGTGGCCGTGATGTCCTGGCCGGCCTCTCCAGCAACTGCTGCAAGTGGGGCTGCAGCAAGAGGGAAATCAGCAGCCTCTGCTAGACCAGGGCCCGGCGGCCGGGCACCAGGTGGACGCCCTCGCCCTGCCGTCTGCCCAACAAGAGCTGGGCAGCTGCCTCTGACTCTCCACATGCTCATCCATCAGCGAGTCCCGGAGGCCGGGCTGTGGGCGCCGACACAGTCCCGGCAAACAACTCTGATCTGGGACCAGCCTATCCTGACCCTGAGCGAGCTGTGCCCCTACCTGGCCAAAAGGGGACCCTTGATCCTGACCCCCTGGCCTCTCCCTGGCCCATATCATGCCTCTGCCTGGCCCACACTGTCCCATGCTGCAACGGTGGCCCTGCTCTACCCAAACTGGCCACACTGAGCCCCTGGCCCAGACTGTGACTCTCTCCTGCCCCAGCTGTGGCCACTGTCCCCTGGCCGGCTCCAATCATGCCCTGGCCCCGTGCCAGCCTTTGCCCACTCTCTTCCCCCTGCCTTCCAGCCCCCCACCCCCAGCCCCGCCTGCTGGGGTTCTAATGCTGTGGCCTCGGGACCCCTGTGTTCCCCTCCCATCCTGGGCTGGGAGGCTGCGTGGGAGGTCGGATCAGAACCTTCTCCAACCCCAGTTAATAAAAGTTTCAAATGACTTTGCAGCGTGTGTGTCGTCGGGGTGGGGCGCAGACTTCAGGGGAGCTCGGCCCCGCCCTCGGCGCCCCCGCCGCCCCAGGCCGCCGCCCCACTCCCCCTCCCCAGCCGGGCGGCGAGCGCCGCGGGGACTTTCCGGCGCGGGGAAGGGGCGGGG